TCCATTTATAAATAAAAAAATCACATGATTTGCAGGTGTGCTTTAGTTTTAAAAACTTTGGTAATAAATAGCGATTAAATAGACATAACCTCAAGATTATCAATTACAATCTTTTCTAAGCCAGATACCATTTTTTAATGAATAAAATGATATTATTAAAAATAGCCATAATATACACATTATCCTAGCGAACAGTAATTGTGAACTTCACGCCAAGCATTCAGGATGAAGATTTCACGATTCAAAATAAAAACAAGGATATTCAAATTCCAGTGGTTAATTAAAATTTATTTGTTTTTTTATTTTTATTTTTAATTTTTTAAAATATGATGATATTAAAAATAAATTTTTTTTAAAATAATTTCAATATATTTTTAAGTAAAAAAATTATAAAAAATAACTACAATCATAATATAAAACGTTTCAAATCCAAGAGGTTAATTACATTTAATGGCAACAACCCTAATGTCGAACAAAAAATCCACAGCAAACTGCTCATTAAAATTAAACTGTCTCTATACATCCAATCTAGCTAGTAGAATTCTACTTTGGTCTGAAACAAACTAGACTAGTGATGTTGACGAGGTTGGAAAATCTACCATAACAAGATGGTTCTTCACAAGATTGAGTTTTGACGATGGAGAATGTGAAACATCTACAAAAACAAGTCTTCTTTTATGGAATGAGAGATTCTTCGATGACCAAATCATAAAAAGAGGGACGTGAACCTAAAACGACAAAGAGTGCAGGCCGTGATGCAGGTGAAAATGATGAACAATAAGGGTTATTTATTTATTAACTTCTCTTACCCTAAAGCTCGTGATGGATTTTGTTATAGTTTTTAGGTCTAACTTAGTCTAAGATTTCGGTTTTGGATTTTTACAGGGTTATTAGGTTATTCAAGTTAATTTTTTTTAAAATTAAAATGTTATTATTTTAATAAAATAATAAAAATTAACGAATTATAATTAAATTTTTAATTATATCTTGCTAGGTCAACCAGATTATTAGGCCAATCTGCTGAGTCACATCAAACTTTTATTTCTCTAGTTTTTATTCAATCTGGACTAATTCTAGTCTATAATCAACTGAGTCAGTCAGATTGAATTCTAAATTAATCTATTAAGTTGAGCCGTATTTCAAAACTATAATTTTGTTTTCATAACTATTATAGGCCGTATTTCAAAACTATAATTTTGTTTTCGTAACTATGAGCTAGAATTGCATGGAGAGGAATTCATAATTGTTCATTTCTTTTACACCAATAATTTTAAAAATTGATTTTGGGATGAATATTTTAATAATTTTAAAAAATTCATGGGGAGGGTTAGACAAACTCTTCGGATGGAGATGAGTGAGTTCACTTGTAAAGGTGCCTCTTTTTTTTTTTTTTCCTTCAATGATGTGGTTGTTTATTAGCGTGGAGCTTGAAAATCAAGCTTTATTTACATATTAATAAAAGCAACACGATGACTGAAAAATACTGTAGATATATATTTATTACCAAAACTAGTAATATATATTACTATACAAATTAAAATTAAAACCAGTAATAAGAAGCATCATGGACTTTTATATGTCAAATTAGTTATTATTAAATTGATAAAATATAAATGTCTTTTTATATTTTAAAAACACAATAAAAATATCTAAATATACTTTAAAACAAAATTTTCAATATATATTAGCACCAATGGACAACATGATTTTTTCAAAATTATTTAGATTAACTTATAAAGATTAATCACTAAACATTAAATTAGAGGCTGCAACTCGTGGAAGCATCCAATCTACAATAGAGTTATATTTTGTACTGGATGAAAACAAGATTAGCTAGAAGAGTCATCATTTTTTTTTTTTTTATTTGCGTGGGGTACAACTCGTGGAAGCATCCAATCTACAATAGAGTTATATTTTGTACTGGATGAAAACAAGATTAGCTAGAAGAGTCATCATTGTTTACGAGGCAATGGCGTGAACGTGGGGAGGAAAATCAGGTAAACTCCATGAAGTAACTTCGGATTCGTAGTTAAAATATTGCTTCGTGCACCGTATGAAAAGGAATGATCGGGGATTGGCCGAGAAGAGAGACAGCTACTTCCAGGCTGAACAATTTGTTGGCTTCTACCCAAGGCAAGATGGATTGAAAATTTCTTGCTCAGGTCACCTGGATTCATTCACTAATTATTAAGGGAATAATATTTGTAGCACTAGTACACGAGTCATGATTGTCGTGATCTCATGTTCGAATCCTTGATTTGCTTATATGATGGCCACTGGAGGCTTACATGGTCGTTAACTTCAGGGCCCGTGGGATTAGTCGTGGTGCTCGCAAGCTGGCCCGGACACCCACGTTAATATAAAAAAAAAAAAAGAAAGAAAGAAAGGAGCATGTTCTTATACAGAGTCCATGTATCATAGTGGTTAAACCCTGTCTAATTTAGTGGGATGATTCTAGATCTATTAACTTGAGACTAGAATCATTCTAAATTAAAAAAAAATAAGAAAAAAAAAAGTAACTCAGCTGATTTAGGAATTGACTCAGTAAAATCCGATCAAAAAACTGATTGTAACATATTAATTTTTTTAACTAAAATGATGTCGTTTTGATTTTTTTAAAAATAAATTAACCTGGATAACCCAATAAAAACCTGAAACCCGGGTCTAAAAACTATACCATGATACAGAAAATGCCACAATGCATATGATGGCAGTGGCGGAGCTAAGATTTTTTAAATAAAGGGGCAAATTATTAACAAACATTTGATATTGTATATTATGTAGGCATGCATTATATTAAGAAATCAATTTGAAATATAGATACTAATTTATATCAAACAAAATTAATTTAAAAATACTTTTAAAATAAAACAATTTACGTTATAAGTGTTCTTTTTGAGTTTTATATTTTAAAACCGCTTCTTAATAACTTTATTATATATACAATCAGACTCTCATTTATCTATTTTTAGTTTAGGGTGAGTTCAATACTTGTGTTTTTTAAATTTTTCAAAGACTAATAAAGTTCTTGACAATAATTTTATACTAATATATGGTAGAGAGTAGTTAAAACCATAACTTAAAAGGATTGTCATGACAAATTGATATTATTATAATAAAGTTCTTGACAATAATTTTATACTGATATATGGTAGAGAGTAGCTAAAACCATAACTTAAAAGGATTGTCATGACAAATTGATATTGTTATTGTTGATTTGTTGTTTTCTACAGGTAAGTTAAACATAAATATTAAATATTTTTTTATTTTTCTATTATGTCTTTAATTTTTTGAGTTGTCCCATACTTCATTTTTAATCACTAGTAAATTCATCGTCATCTTTTGAGTTGTCCCATACTTCATTTTTAATTACTAGTAAGTTCATCGCCATCTATTTTTTATATAAAATTTGTAGTAAAATACTTATCAATTTATTAAAACTCATTTTAATTAATATCTATATACATATAATATTACTGATACATGTATTAATTTACAAACTCTTAAATTATTATAAATCTTAATATTTTTAATAACTAATTATAAATGAATAAAACTAAAATTAAGTAATGAAACAAATAGAAAAAATGAAGAAAACTTACCTAAAATATAAAGTATAAGAGATTATTTACTTAACTAACTAATAGTTTAGGACTTGAAGAAAAATTTTGTAAAAGAAAAGGAGACAAGAATAGTAGCTCGAAAAAAAAAAAAGACTTTCAGTTAATTAATGAAAGGAAAATTTTTTTAGAGAAATGTCCTAAATATATATATATATATATTATATTTTGGTGTAAGTTAGTAATAGTTAACTTGGGTTAATTAGTAGCTAATCAAAAAAATTATGTTAAGATATTATTTACATTCTAATATAAAAAGTATTTAAAAAAAATTAAAGGGGTAATTATATATTTTAATATGAAAAATATATTGTAAAACAATTAAGGGGTAATTGCTCCCTTTTGACACCACGTGGCTCTGCCACTGTGTGATGGTAATATTTAATTTAATGAAATGTACCTGCCACATTGGAAGTAACTGGGCAGTTCCTGTTCGAGAATTTTTTTATTTTTATTTGACATTGGTCACAGGTATATTATCTTTAGTTTTCAATTGTAAGAAAAGACATTCATACAAGTCCAAGGTTTCATTCTTAATTCCTGAACTAATTCATTTCAAATGTTCTTGCTGGCCTATAAATACCTGCTTTGAGCATCTTGAAGCTCACACCAGTATTCTAGCGAGAGTTGAGGAAAGGAGAAATAAGAATGGAAAGATCTTACTCTCTTCTGCTTCTCTTTTTGGCCCTTGTCTCATTAAAAAGCTTCAATCTTCCATGCAGTGCTGCTGATCCTACAGATGGTTTCACCCCAGTGCCATTAACAGAAGCAAATTTTGTGCTGCAGAAGCCATATAACGTACCGCTAAATGAGCGATACAGCTATGAAGATGGAGTGCGCCGTTTGTGGGTCTATGCTACAGATAAGCCACATGACCCTAGTAGCAACACCCAACCAAGAACTGAAGTTCGCATTAAAGTCAGTAACTCCCTTGCCCCTTTCCTTATCTCTTAGCTAAAGGATATGGAAATCAAAGAATTCCCTATTGAATTATAGATAGTTCATTGTCTGCATCATGTGTATTTTAGATACAATATACAGAATAACTCTAAAGAAATGCAGTCCAAGCTACTGGGACGTATATACTTCACATTCTCTAACTGGTTTGGTTTGTGAAATTTGTAGGGTCTTGACTATTCATCAGGAGTATGGCAATTTGAAGGCTATGGCTTTGTGCCAAATGGAACATCAGGTGCGACAGTAGCACAGATACATGGTGCGTCTCATGGAGCAACCACTTTGATACTAAGGATCTACGATGGCAACATGAGGTACTATAGTGGAGACTTGGTGGCTACTGATCTTTATGACAAGTGGTTCAGGCTAAATATAATCCATGATGTTGATGGAGGTAGGGTGACTGTATTCATTGACGGTGAAGAGAGATATTCAACCCACGATCAAGGGCCTGGCGATCTATACTTCAAATGTGGAGTCTATGCTGCGCCTCGCAATATAAGCTATTACATGGAATCAAGGTGGAAAGATATCAAAATATATAAGAAGTGATAATATGTGTGGATATGGAATAAGATGGCTTTTGGCGTGGAATATAATTGAGATTTAAAGCATCTCTCTACTTCTGTTTCTGTTAGCTCCGAATACATCACGACTCTCTCAAGTGATTTTGAACAAATCCGAAATACCTTGAAATGGTTTCGTGATTTTGAACACTGCACCTAAGAATCTACCATTGATAAGAGTGATTATAGGTTAAAACATGATCAGGTTGTGTTGCAGTTCAGTTCGATGAACTAGATGTTTCAAAATATCCTGTCAAATACTGTATTTATCAAAGGGCGTTTCCTCACTCACCTGGCTTTGATTTGCCACAATATGCAGCCATAAATTCAACCAAAATTCAGCAACCCAAGTCTTTTTATTTTTTATTTTTAATAGCAGGTCACACAGTAACAAAGTGTTGGCAAAGTAACCTTACATGCAGCCCTCAATACCATACCAGCTACGAATGGAATGAATGGAATGTCAAAAACAAATTATGCTTTACTTGTAAAGGTCGAAAGAAAATGGAAAAAAAAAAAAAAACACATCTACACAACACGGAAAGACCATCCAAGAAGCTCATGAACAGGATAGGCAGCACCACTTTTCAATTTGGATGAAAAACCATTGCAGGGGGTACGGCTGTTCATTTTCCTCTGAAGATGAGGCAGGCAAGGGTAGCTCGGGAGGCAAATGTCGGTGAAATGCATCAACTGCAGCTCCAACACCATCTTCATTTTCTATCAACTTAGCTAATTCCACAGCTCGAGATTTCACCTGACCAAGTTGAAAGTCTGATTAGGAATTTGAGAAGGCAGCTTCTTATAAAAGTGGTGCTTAGGAAGAGTGACCATGCAACTTCCCATTTCATGTTGCAATTTGGTGATAAGCTAGCATGATCGATATGAAAACATAATGGAGGAAGAATTCAAAAATGGTTAATCACATACAATTATGCTCTATTTAGAACCTAGATTCAGCCGTGTTTCAATAAACATTTTATCTTCTTGAGAACATGAAATCGTTCTGCACCTGGAAAACACCTTTGATGATGGCTTTTATTAAAGTCATAAGACGCCACCCAATTCAGATAAAACTAGACGGAAGTGATTCATAACAAAAAATTGTTAAAACGCAGTGAAAATGGTGCTCTGACTTGTAACTTGAGAATTATTGTGAAAATTCTTAAAAGATGACTGGAAGGATCAACTAATAACAAATATACCCAAACAAAGGAATTAACAAGATTTTCTGATAATTAAGGTAACTACTATTGCAAACACCAAAAAACACTAACAAGAAGATAAAATCATACCAGTGAAATCTAATATATTTGTGATATTATATGAATCGACTCTTCCATGTACAACACATTGCAGTTACCTCAGGCTCTCGCATGAATCTTATTGCATTTGAAAGGCTCTCAGCACTGAGCCTAGCTATTGGTATCGGTGCAGGTCCTAGTCCTTTTTGATGCACTCGATCACCCCAGAAGAACTGATCGCCAAAGAATGGCACTATAGCTGTCGGGCACTGCAATTAACATTTTTGGAGACAAGGTCAACATGTAAAAATTGGTTCCAATAAACTATCGAGTTGCATAATTTAAGTAGGTTACAAGCTATATCTCTTAATTCCATTTCCAAGCATATAATACATTCAGATTCATTGACATGAAAATCTTCAAGAAAGATTAAGCTTAATGAAACTGATTATTTTGATGGGTCATTCTCCCATGAAGTCAAGAGAACATTATCATAATAAACTATTTGAAAAAAGAAGAAGCATTTACCCCAGATCTTAGTCCCATTGCTGTGGTTCCGGCACCACCATGATGAACCTGCATTTCATTTGTAAACATCTTCCAATCAACTATCTGGTTAACAAATGTTACCAAAATATACTCAAGTAACACAGTATTATAATGAAGGTGTTCATTACAGAGAGCATGTCATTCTTGTCATTCATCCATATCATTAAATCTAGGCAATACCACAGATCCCCATATGATTTATGATTGCCTAGTAGTTACAGAGTTGTTAGGAAGAAAATATGATTGGAAGTGGGTAAAAGGAGAAGGAAAAACAAAAGGCCATACTGGCAAAGTGCACAAAGTTCTAATTTGCAACATAATTACTATCTTGTAATATCACTCACCACAGCAGCACATTGAGGAAACAACCAATCATGAGGGCAATCCTTCAAAAGGAAGACACTGTCAGGTACTTCCATAACTGCAAGACACATGATGACAATCAGAAGAGAAACTATATGAATTTCAAAATCTAGTACGCATATGTGTTTTCATTTTATAATCAAAAGTCACACAATTTCAAACTATTATAATGACAGAAGACAAATTGGTAACAATACTTGAGGAATTCAACAATTTCCTATCAAACAAGTTGTGGTGGTATGAGAATGGGATGAAGAAGAATGTCTGAATATAAGAAACAAGGGGGTGAGAAAGTAAAACACGAGCTAAGAAGGCAATCCAATCCCATTGAATATCAGCCAGGGAAGTAATAACTTAGAAAGTAGTACATTTATTTAGAATCTTGGAAAGTGCCACAAGTAAGTGGATATCTGTAAAGCTAATTAAAACATATTTATTTAGAAGCTTCAATTATGCCTACGTGAAGCATTCCTTTTGATTATTGTTGACTAAATTGTTAAATCACAAATTAATCACCAAATCCAGGTAAAACAACAGAAAAATGAATAGAGATTCACCAGCCAACAAAGCCCTATGCAGACAGCAAGACATTTGTATGCTGATACAAATGAGAACTATGCGACATGACTCTTTGAAACGGTGATCAGTATCTGTAAGCAGGCATAGGAAAAGCTGGAAGGAAAACACTTACAATTTCCAAGATCTCCCCAACCTTGATCAACTATTCCTCTTTGTCCAGTATCTTTCAAAGCCTCCAGTATTATGTCCATAGTATTCTTGGGATCTTCAAGAGGCTTCACAAGCAAACATATAATAGTTTAAATTATGTCCTAAAAAAGCTTGATGAAAAGAAAATTCTATTGGCTAACTACATGAATTTAAAATATAATGGAAAGACGACACAAGGATTGATAGATATTTAATTTTGAGATATAAAGAAGCAGGAAACTATGCAAAGTTTATTGAGGACAGCAATCTCAATTGGAGTGTAGATCATGCAAAGATAAGAAAATATTCAAACAAAAATACACAGAACAGCATGCCCAACATGCTAGCACTGCGTTTTTCAATCACATCTTTTCTCTCCTTTTTTCTTTTAGAGTTTTTCACTCGTATATGTCATATAAGAATAGGAATTTAGCAGAGGAGTCAGCTGTAACTGAAATATTTGGTTAACAAAATCAAAGCTCTAATTTTTCTCAAGTTAATAAATTCATCCTTCAGCTTCAAACATATAACGCACCGATGTACAAAATCACCAAGGAACAAAATTTTCTTGAAGTGGCATTTCCAGAGTCAGCACAAGTTTAAAAGTGAACTTCGTGGTTTCACAAGTTACAATACTTGGCCATAAATTATCAGTTATTTTTTCAACCAAGCTCCAACATATACAACCTCAAACTCTTCTAGGCCTCGTTCATTCATCAATATTAAAGGTTGTTCTGGTTCACAATCTAGCAAACATCCATGAGATTCACAATAAAAGTCACAGTATACATGTATCAAAAAGAACTACAAACTACTAAATAACATCTAGAGGGAAAAAGAATAGTGAGGCACATCATCCAACAAACAGAACAAACAAAGAGAAACAAAAAAGTGCATGAAAATAAAACTATAACAGCTTCAGGGAAATCACCATACCATGCTCCCGAATCCAATATATATGGGTTCAGTTCCTTTCTGAATCCATTGCAGGAACTCTTCTTTAGGTTCATATTTTGATCCAAGATTTAACAAACAATAACCAACAACATCGACTGAAGGCCCCCAATCTGCAGATTAGTTAATGAAGTCGATTATACATATGAAGCATGAGTGTTTGCATTTGGCTGAATAGAAAGATTATTACAAAGACCGTATGAAAAACACCCTCAATGTCTCAAAAGGAACCAAAGTGGGGAGATCAAAGTTGATTAAGAATACTAGTTAGCATCAGTGGTTGAGAGCAAATAAATACATTGGTCAGGCTAGCTCTCTCCCTACTAGAGGAGAAAAGCAGTAATGGTAATAGATACGTAATTAAAATGCAGCAAACATAATAATGATTGGCTGATTAAACTGACTCTTAAGATTTCCAGCTGAGAAGTACTCAGATCTAGAATAAATGTTAGTTTGTGACTGCTTTCAATCATGTAAATAGCTAAGCTCTTCTTCAGCAATAGAAACAAGAAATCCGTTTAAAGAATGAATAACCTCAAAGTATTTTCATCATGGTTCAGTAAGTAAAACCAATCTAGGTGCAGGCTAGAAATTTAAAACGAGAAACATTTTTGTATGAACCTTTGAGGCTAGATATGTGCTTAGCATCTAATAATTTCTTTTTACCATGTCCCTGATTTTGCCTCTTCCCATAAAAATAAAAAGAAAGGAAAGAAGGAAAGAATTGAGTTTTGATTGAGAGGTAGAGGTAACATAATTTGGAGAAAGTACCATCCTCGAATAACAATTTGTTATGGATTGAAGGCACTATAAGGAAGACAGCAACATGGATATCTGAGCTTGAGAAGATTATCAACAGTATAACTAAATGGAAACCTTACCACTTGGCTTTGGCACAAGATGGGAACTCCACATATAACCTGTTGGCAGATGAGATATTGATCCATGGTACGTACTGAAGTACGCGATCGGTGGAAGCTTCAACTTTCTTTTCCGAAAGTCATTTATATAGCCTCTCATTCCCCACCATATCAGTAAATCCACAACTATGTATGAAAGCTGGATCCATGGAAACAGTCAGTGGTGATTAGTCCAACAGTTAACAGGAAAAAAGAAATTATAGGAAAATGTGACACCAAGAAAGAACATACCCAATAACCAGCACTTTGAGGTACACGTGCTAAAGGATGAGGAAATTCATATGTTGGCCTGCCTATTGAAGATGGAAGTGAGAAGGCATAGCCTTGAGTAGAAAACTAACAGATAAACAAACAAATAAACAAAGCATAATTCACTAAAGATAACATGCTTTTAAAATTCATTATTAACCTTTTCCTCAAATTTCCATTTGGTTTATATCAGTCTCTAAACCTTCTTTTTCCTGTTTTATTAACCATGCCAAAACACTAGTACTGGTATAGGCTCGACCGCACTTTCTGTATTCCCGCGCCCCCCGTGTGCAGACACCATTGATTTTCTGGTTGCATTATCCAAGAATCATCAGATTCTCCTTAAATCAGAAATTCATGCACTTAAGAAAGAATGCATGTGAATTTTCCAAGTCAGCTATGTGTGGATCAAAATAATTAGCATGAGACTCAAGCAATCATGTGTACTTTTAGTTAAACTACTGGAAATGTCAAAAAGCATATCCATTAAATCTGAATCCAAAGAAAAACCGTTGTTCTCTGTC